TAGAGACAAAGAGTAGGAAAAAACGGGGATTTTAAAAATCCCTGTTATTACCGGATCCCTGTTATTACCGGGCCTGTTATTGTCTTTATGGTTCGCACTGTAATTGGCTTTTTTTCTCAACCTCATGGCGGAATTTTTCTACTCTTTGTTTTAAAAAAAAGTGAAGTTTATGTCTTTATTTATCAAACATGCCATAAAAACTGCCCACATAATAATAATGTGCTTTCATGCATTAATTAATTTATGCTTTTCCGGCTTTTTTTCTCTTGATCTCTAAATCTAGGTCCCACATTCCCATGACATCTTGAGCCAGAGCAACTTGTTTCTGTGTTTGTTTGTCTATTACTCCAGCCCTGTCTGTTCCCCTAAAACAAACATGCATATTTTTTTTTAACGTTTAGTATACTTGTTCTCTCTTTGAAGCACTCAATTATAATTTTTTCCTCTTAGGAAAAAGATGCCCATCGGGAGTTAGGAACGAAGTCGCAGATTTCGAAGTGCGCACCCTCTTGTCTCCAGGATTCCCCCAGTCATATGAAACGTAAGTTTTGGGCCTGTCTCGTCAGTTAGCATAAAGTTTCCAATGGAATCCATTTCACCGACTTTGTAGAGTTACCTGTAGGCTTCAATATATAAGTAGATTAATGTTATCAATCAGGAATTCTGTTTTATTTGTTATTGTTTATTAAAGGCAAATATCACCCCAAACGCCTACTCACATAGCCTTCAATACACAAGGTTACTCAAACAGAGCCCTTTCAACTGCTTCTTTAAAATAAGGACTTCACAACCTTATCTGGCCTCCACGGTGTTTCTTTTAACGATTTACTTAGTGTGTTTATAGTTTCAGCTAAATCAATGGACCCTCTCACTACTCAGAATGCATATTATATATTATGTTTATATATTGTTCAGGAATAATTATATTTTTGAAGTTTGTCTGTTAAATCAGAGACACTAAAATATAGGGTATTTTCTATCACTTGTATGTATTTTAGCACATTGGACACTCTTCTGGTTACAAAATGCTACGAATGTGTATTGACAATCCATAATTATCATTCTACTATTGATATAACTGTCCTTTGTTCCGCAGGAACGAGGAGTGTATCTGGGGACTGCAGGCGGCCGCATCTGGCTATGACATTCAGTTGGTCGTAGTGGAAATGGACCTGAACAACATTGACCAAGCCTGCAATAACGACTATTTAGAAATTTATGAAGGTACATGTATTTTAAAACATTTGAGAACACGTCTGTGATGCATTAAAGACATAAAGGTTTAGCCTGTATAAAAAGAAGTCGAACAGATGTCCTGGCTTAGACTGTGGAGAGACTTAACTTTAGCTCAAATGGGTAACACAGAAGATTAGTACATGTAGTAAACATACTTCTGGGGGGGATTTTTATACGAATGTTAACTTTGCCTCAAGACAAAGGCAAAAGACATTAAACACAGGGTGTCTAAAAAAGGACCCAAGTAAAGGGTAAAAACTCAATCATCCTTGTACCACTTTCAACTAAACTTCGACCAAATAAACTTCAACACAGGAGATGTCAGATTATTCAATAAGAAAACAAATCAAGGAGCTCGAAAAACTTTCCAACTTCCTGAAAGCATTCAGTTACAAGGGCATGATCGGCTCCTTTTGGCATCAGGACAAGGACGGTAAAACTACGACTTTCACATCAGATGATTATATCACCAAACTACAAACGTTAAGGATACGTTAGGGGGGGGGGGGAGAACATGTTATGCTGTTGCGGAGGTACGGTTCCAGTACTATTGGGCTAAAGCCTATTCGTTAAGAGTGGCCCTGCAACGGGTGTCTACAGTAAAAGAGGACCCATTAAAAGGGGAATCATTTGGTCATCTTTGGACCAATTTCAACAAAACTTTGGACAAAAAAAAATTCAACGAAGTGAACGCATCATTTGTCAATATGAAAAGAAAACAACGTACATGTGCGAAGAATATCAATTTAAAAACAAATTTCAACCAAAATTAGGTGAAACTCAAAACTTTGACGATATTGTTCTATTTGTTGATTGAGAAATACATTTATACAAAATTGATATTGTCATTCAACTCTTGGAAGGCGGGGGCTATTTAAATGGTATATCCCAGGTGTTTACCACTTCATACAGACAATCCAATACGCCGATGGGAATTGTGAACAACCCTGTGCCCTGAGGCATGTTTCTGGGTCAGTGCTTTGGACCTTCTGTTTAACAATGAGTTTCAACTGTTCGATTTCTGCTAAAAACAAACAAACGAACAAACACAACAGAACAACAACTTTAAAACATTTTTTTAAAGAAGAAAAGAAAAAGAAAAAAAATGAGGGGGTTCAAGTTGGTGGGAATTCGGTGACCATTCATTCGTAAGCATTCATTCCAAACCTCTTTTGCAACCTTACACTCTTGGCGTGAAGGGCGTAGTCCCATCTCACCGGAACCAGCCCCCCCCCCCTTACAACCCTAAAACTTCTCTTATACTTATACTATTGCAGCGCAACGAGATATCTGTCTGATAACGTGACGGTCGTGGATTTGTCATTCCTGTCCTGAAACCAGAATGGACCGATCGTGCCCTTGTCCCTGAACAATCTTTCGAAGTAAAGTTTTGCGTTTTACCCAGTTATAGTAAAAATGGTTAAAACTTGATCTTTCTCGAGCACTTACGAGTGGTTTTCTTTATATTTACAAGCTACTGGATAACCATCTGGTTGAATTTCATCTGTTCTAAGTTTTATTAAGATCGGTGCAAATATGACCTATTGCTCATTAAATGGGTCTTCTATATTTAGACACCCTGTATGACCAATGATTCCGGTATGACTACAAGAAAGATTGGTGTGTGTGTGTGGGGGGGGGGTATTTTAAGCTTACAATCGAATGATCACTGCTTCCCACCGACTTATGTTCTGAACTTTTTCCTTTGGAGTCTTTTGACAGATGACAGCAACACACGAACACTCGAACAGTTGAGAATCAATGTCATACAGAAGATCCACAGAACTGATCCAGAAACATGCCACAGGTTATTCAAAATTTCTAGCCGCGCATTCGAGCTTTTCTGGAGAGAAATAGTCAGCACATGAAGCATATAATTTCGTAGCCACCACCTTTCCCGAGCAAAGGCTGGTAATGCCAGTTTCAAATACATGTGTGAAGGCATAACTAATACACAAGGACTATGGTTGATTTTCAACAACATTACGTATCTTACTAAATTTTGGGTCATCTCTATATAATATATTTGTGAACGTTTGTCACTTTGGGCGCCTAAAATTTCCGAACCACTTACCTTTCGAATTTGACATATTTAATGGTGGTTCAGAATCATTTAAAGGGTGCACAGTTTTATTGAGGAGCCTGAAGTCAATGTAGTTTAATTTTCAGTTTTTCATTAGTTTCGTTTAGATCTAATCTTGGGAAAGTCCGTCTTCTTCTATGACGCCATTGTAAACAAGTGCGGCTTCCGTTCACTAGCTATGCGCACTAGTTCTACACCTTCGAAATTCTGGAGTGTACAACCACGAAAGTGGAATAGAGAATCAATCTATACATCTCTCTATGTAGACCTTCTAATTTTTTTGCATCTCTCATGATTTATTGCTCCACTCTAGTAGAGTGTAAATATAGTAGGCCAATGACTTTCAGTTGATGTTAATGCACCGATCATTCCTTTTGTCGAAAGGGGATCCAGCTAGTTTTATAAACGTGATATTTTTCGAACATGTAAATTAATCTTTTCATACTGATACGACTGACGTCCCTTTGGTTGAGTTTTATCTGCTTGCAGTTTTATTGAAACTGGTCCGAACAAATGACTGAGTCTTTAGCTTTTAAAGTGGTCCTTTATAAAAAAGGCACATTGTGTGAAAAAGTCTTGATAAAAATCACAAATGTATGAGTCATACTGATCAATGTTTAATTTTTATTACAGCGTGTAGACGGATTGTGTTAGGACAAATTTATTATGATCAACGGAACACTCTTTATGCTCAAAGTAAAGAGACACAACCACTCTTTCTTCATGGGGATTCGACATGTGGTAGCTCTTTGTATCAAACAGTCGGTTACCATAGGTTACTAACCTAATAACACACTTGAATACTTTTTTTTCAGGGGACAACACATCCAATCTTCAGAAAGTTGCCACGTGGTGCGGTCAAGAAAAACAGATTTACAAATCCAGACGCCGATATGTTCAACTTAAGTTTGTCTCAGATGGGCACTTTGCTGGTGGTGGCTTTGCCATTGAATATGGACTTGTAAAATCTGGTTGGTGTCATAATGTTCACGACTCTCCTTTTCACAAAATGCTGGAATTAATCCGATTTCTCAGTCTATGTATTGTTTCTCAACATTTTTAGTTTTTGTTATTGACCTCTTTATGTTAATGTAGATGTTCAGCTTTGCTCAACCTCATGTTAAATAGGACTATTCATTCACTTTTTAGGAGCATAATACTCTATAACATTCAATGTTCCCCTTTTGTTATGGCTCTGTTGACCTTACGTTATGTTCCATTAAGATTTATACCACACTCTTTTTATCTTCTCTCCAGCATCTTTCCTCTTGCTGACCCTAGAGCGCCCTTCTACTTTGTGTTTTCTGGTGGTTCCATGTTAGGGATTGACATGTATTGATGGCTGTTGTCTTCCTCAAAGAGTGGTCTATTCCTTGTTATACCTTGTTACGCCTCTATTACTTTATGAAATGGGACTGGTCAGGTGGTCAGAGTGTCGACATTCCTGGCCATCTCTTGAAAGAGCCGTGGAAAGCTCCATTGACATCAATGCTAGGGTATCGATGTGCTTCACAAGTATTTATGAAACCAATGATAGAGAAAATCAATGGTCATAGTTACATCTGCTAGTGGTTACACATTGTTGTCTAGATGGTAGACTGTGTTAAACCAAAAGTTTGTGCTGAAAAATTGTTAACGTGTTTTCACTGGCGTCGGTGGTGAAGTGTTTAGACGCTTACCTGTTACACTCATTTTCGTGTTGGGTGAATTTTTATCAAATATCTCGATCTTTCTGCCGAGATGTTGTATCCCTCTCAGCCCGAGTTGTCCTTGAATAGACAGGCCTGAAGCCGACTTTCTTATTAATTATCTAAATTTTACCGATGTGGCCTTTAAAAAAAACCCTACATTTCAACTTTAAAAAAGTCTTTTTATGCCGTATACCTTCAGATAGTAGGAATTTGAACAAAATTGTCCTCGTTTTGTGGCTTTTGCTGATGTATTCATGTTTGCCTATGTTAGTTCAAGAGACTTTCTTTAAGTTAATCTTTAAGTAAGTCAAAGCTGAACTTAATGATTGCATAACATTTATACTCAGACTACACCTACTATAACTGTTTTTTCATCATTTGCAAAACTGTGATACAATGTTTGATGTTGGAATCCTTTAAAACTACCAGGTGCTAAGGTCAATGCTGGTACTGATCACGGTTTCTATAGACTTGCCAGCTCAAAATATAATGCTGTTTGTTGTTTGTTTGTTTGTTTGCTTTTTAAATCTTTGTCCACCGTGATTGTATGGTTTGAAAGTTAAATGGATTTTTCCCGTGAACTATATTAAATTGGTAGTGGATATTTTTTGTTAATGCTTATTGAATGTGAAAAGTAGATTTACTTTGATATTCTCAGAAGTAGAGGTTTACCCCTTCCCCCCTTTTTAACCTCACAGCAAATGCATCCTGCGCAAGCCCGGATCCAGCAGTGATTGAAGTAGGAGTAGTCCCAGTTGTAGATGTGTTTCAAGGCAGAGCAGATATGCCTAGGTAGGTTGTAAAAAAATCGTTTATCATTTATAGTATGAGTATAACGTCTGTTTCAACACATAAGGCTACATAAGGTGCTGGTCTTCGATTCTCTATCAAGAAAAGCTGAGGGAATCCTTTAAGGCAGTATTCCAGTGTATGAAAACGTTTTCCTAGGTAGAAATAACTGTTAGTCCTCCGCCGATTATGATGTGCCAGGATAAAGCTACCTAATTTTTGCAAATAGATTCCACCATTCCTAAAATCACCTGTTTCCACAAAAGGAACATAGCGATTTTTATTAGTTTATAATTGTTTTTAACAACCTTGAAAACACACTGTTCATTTATAAAAGAACATGAATAGCGGAATGTTGATGTAGGCCAGACTGCAAAATGTAGTAGCATTTGTGCAAAACTAACCTTCAAAGATTTGTACGAAGTTGTACAAAGTTTTTTAAATTCTATTTCATTTCCTCAGTTGCATTTGGAAGATTCAAAGCCCAGTTGCAGACTCAAATCTTGTGTTTGAAATCTATAAGCCTTCTTGGATTAACTGTGGCGAGGGCCGCTTCTTGTTTTATGAGGGTAAGTGATTTACTTTTTCTTGAGCATGAATTCAGAACTTGAATTATCCATGTTTTCATAAATTATATTATGTCAGAGAAAGTACATATCACATGTACTCCCAAATTTGTTTTGTCAATTGTTCTTTTTCATTCCAGTAAAAGCCATATATAGTTTTACCTTTTTCTATTTTTAATAACTGGTACAGAAGCAATATTACGTATTATAGTGTTTTATACGGACCATTACTTAACCCCCAGGAGATACTAACTCAGGTCACGTCGAGTTTGAATTCTGTTCAAATAAGAACGCTTTCTCCAAGATGTTCTTCTCCTCTGCTGTGGTCACCGTGGTGTTTGAGCATGACCAGAGACAACTGCCGGAGGGACTGACTTTGAGGATGTACAACAGACCTGTGCAATGTGAGTGTGGGAGTTTATTGCAAAAAGACTGTTCATAAGAAATACAAAATGACCTATCCTTATTTTTATATGTGTAGTATATTATCCATGTTACAGGACTGCCGATAGACCTACAAGGTTGGGTGGGGTTTTTTTTTGTTTGTTGTTGTTGTTGTTAACATTTAGAAATCAAATCAACATCTCTGTGTTTTTTGTGTGCTACCTTAACCCTATTCGTACTCAGTACGTAGTGTTTTATTATCGTTTCCCTACAACGTGGGATATCTCTGTGCCCCCACTTTCAAAAGAGGAAATTTATTTGTGTGGGGTAACAAAAAAACCCAAGTATTCGAACCCAGGTGTGGAATCGAAAGGCTTTAAGATCCAAGATGGCGGCAATTAGTTTTGTCTATGCGTCGAGGGTTCAATTGGCTAACACTAATGTCGCTCAAGCCTTCACATTTCACAGAATGTTGGGTCTAAAATAAGCTTGTTCTCTCAGTTCTTGAACTTCGCTGTCTTAGTTCAAGACTTAATGAGACGGGGCAGAACTTTCCCAAAGAGTCTACATAACAAGAGGGGCCACTCTTCTCTTAGAGTTAGAGCCAATTAAAAAAATGTCCTCGAAATTCAGTGGCGCAAATGCACACCCTTTGCGAACAGAGTTACCCTACTTGTTTTTAAAAAAAATCAAAGTGAAACTAGCAAGTTTTTGAATACATTTCGGAAGAACGCTTTTTTAAAATGGTTACGCTGACAAAAAAACCTCTTCCGGAGGAAAGGGTGATTGTTTTCTTCGTTTAATTTGACTTTAGAATGCAACTGAGGAAATGAAATAGAACAAAAACTTTGTACAACTTCGTCACGGTAGACCTAACAACAGACTGTACATGGAAAATATTACACAACTATAGCAGCGATCATATCCCATGCACAGTGTTTGTAGAGCGAGGAAGAAACAGCAACCATCAAAGACAGAAACGAGTTTTCTTCTACCCCGCGGAAGACAACGACCCCATCAGTGTACTGCGAAAGAGCTCCAGGCCACCTAGGGTACAGACAGAGTAGTGGCACAGCAGCCACCCTGGTGGAATGAAGAGACTGAGACATTGTGGAAGATCAAACGCCTGGGGCTGAGAAGACACGAGAAGGACAGATCAAACGTGCAGTTGAAAGCTGAGAAAAAGCTAGGAGATCTCAGATTCGATGAGGCAGCAAAAGAAGCCAAGGACCTAGCATATGATAACTTCTACCGGGGCGTGAACAGCGACAGGGCCCTGAATCAGTTCTGGAACTTCTACAGGTGCTTGACTAATAGGAAAAGCAAACAAGTTATCCCGGATTTCCAACGAGAGGATGGTATGTGGATGCGCACTGATGAAGAAAAGGACCGTGCTCTGTTTAAGAGATACCTAAGACAAACTGACAGGAACGATGAGGGCAAGAGAAAACAGCTGCTCAACAGGATCCAACAGGACTGCAAAGATGAACCCTGTCTACAATTTGTGACACACTAAATGTTACATAAATAAGTCCAGAAAGCATCCAACACTTCTCCTGGTCCTGACGGAGTACGTTATAGCCACTTGAAGAACATGGAGGAAGGACAGACAATGGCACTAGCCGAGAAGCTAAACGAAAGCCTGTGGACTGAGGAGATACCTGATGACTGGCTGGACAGTCACCTGTCTCCAGTTCCTAAGCCAGACAAGGACTCACGCAAGATTGCCACATATCGCATAGTGACCATGCAAAATACCGCCGGGAAGGTGCTGGAGAAAATCGTGGCACGCAGATTGGCAATAGAGCTGGAGGAAAAGAACGTCCCACCGCCGGAACTGGGCAGCTATTGAAGAGGAAAGATCACATGGATGAATGCTGCCACTCTTGAATCCGACGTATATGATGGCTTCGAACGGGGGGGGGGGGGAGAAACTGTGGTAGCAGCACTTGACCTGGAGGATGCCTACAACAGAGTTCAGTACGACGCCCTCATGAGGACTCAAGTCAACCTGAGGGTAGATCCACATTTGGTGCAATGGATTGGGGCAGCGCTGTTCAAAGGAAAGGTAGCACTACGTCTTGGTTGCTTTGCAACCTACCGAGATCACACCAGGCTAACCACAGGGATCTGCACTCTCGCCGGTTCTGTTCAACGTCTATACTGTAGGGATAACATCCAACCAGCTGGAGGGCCGGACGTGTACTCAGTTTTGCTGATGATGTGCTGGTGTACAGGCAGGGCAAGACTCGCCAGGTTACAGCGGAGAGAGTACAGGAAGAACTCGACAGACTTGAACTGTGGTGTGAAGCGAACAACGGGAAACTGCACCCAGACAAATCCTGTGCACTGGGGTGTACACTGAATAACCATGCAGTGCACGGTGACAATCCAAGTATCTCGATTAGAGGCAAAGTGCTGAAGAGGGAATCCACACTGAATTACTTAGGCATCATGTTTGATCGCACCCTCTCTGGCAAAGATCACATCCCGAGAACAATCTCCAGGGCGAGAAAAGGCCTAACAGCCCTTAAGATGATGGCCAGGGCTAAGATGAGCCAGAAAATTCTTGTCATCCTCTACCCGACACTGGTACTCTCTGTCGTAGAGTACGGGCTCGGACTCTTGACCCTATCAAAGGCGCAACTGCAACGACTCGAGGTGTTACAAAATAAAGAATGAGGGCAATCCTGGGGGCACACACGAGACACTTCAGTTGAAGCATTGAGATACTTCCTAGACTTCCCATGTGCAGACGAGAGGCACAAACTGGCACAAGTCCAAGCCTTTCTGCGAGTTCAGCGGAGACGAGACGAACCCTCTACATAAGAAAGTGCAACGGCAGATGACATCAAGGCTAAAGAGGGGCACATAGTGGATTACTCAAGCCACGAACACCATCAACGAGTGCTGCCAGATACAAGACATCAGGAGAGGCAGGGATTAGGTCGTGGCCGAAGATGCGCTCGGAGAGTACACAACAATGAAGGCAACATTGGGTAGAGAATGTCGCAACTGGCCACTTTGAGCTACAAACGCTGAAATTGAAACCATGATAGAAGAGCATAGCGAACATGGAGATGCTGTGATCTTCACAGATGGATCAGTCAACAGAGGAGTCAAATCGGGCTGGTCCTTCAGTGTCAGAGTTGATGGGGTAGCAGTGAAAGAGCAAAGTGGAGCAACTGCACTGACAACAATAAGTATGTGTATGGAGATAAACGCCATAAGTGAGGCTCCACACTGGATCAAGAGCACAAGCCGTCAGCGAGCAGTAATCATTACTTACTGTATGAGCACTATACAGAAGGTACAGAAAGAGATGCTGTATGCGGACTGGAAGATTACAATCAGGGAGAGCAGCCTGGAAAGAGTGGCCTGGATCTTTTGCAATGAGACAGCAACCGGCAGCGAGAGAGCAGACAAGCTAGCAAGAGAAACAAAAGTGGGAGGGAATTTGACAGTGGACCCACCAACCGTCCTAATCGCTGTAAAGAAAAAATTGAGGAAGAATAGGGCGGATAGGGGTTTGCACACTCTAGGTAGATTGAAGGAGAAGGTGATACAAAGAGGAGAAGGGGAACACAGCCATCTGTGCGGACTAGTCCGACGGATCTCCAACCAGATTATGGTGGAGACTATAAGCAGACAGACTCTAGGATGGGTCTTAAGGGGGGGGGGGGGGGAAGAGCAGAGATGGACATGTTCCGACTGCAGTGACCCCCACACAGTGGACAAGCAAGACAAGTAAGTACTCTAAAATGAGAAAAATGCAACCCCTGGGGTACGAAATGACCCTAAGCGTACGGATAGGGTTAAAGCCAAAGCTGGACAACTCTCTTTGAGTTATACAAAGATTGTTTACATTTATTGTGATCACCAAAACACATCTGACGTATGTCATATTCATTTTGTGAAATGACAAGTTTTATTGTTGTTTTGTTGTCTTATCAAAGTACTATAAATGTGTTATTTAACTCTCATAACCCATTCCTTTCAATTTGATATGTTGTTTCTTTCTCTTTGATACATGTTATAGGTTCTTACAAGTTACAGGCAAATTCTGATAACTCACTTTAAGATAAGAGTTGTTTTTCTCCGTTTTCTAGTTATTTAAAAACATTTCTGTTTGGGGATGGTTTGTATGGGGGGGGGGGGGGGGGGGGGGGGGGGGGTCCTGACTTTGTTGTTAACCGCCCAGCATACACTTAGCCTGCAGAAACAGTATATAGGTCTTGTAATATTGTTCTTCCAGGCTGGGTGTTCTTACGTTCCTCATAATCCAGGACTTCATTTTTCCACCATGTCACATTACTGATTTGCTCATGCGTCTCATAAGTGTTTCTTTGAAGCCAAAAACTTGCAATACGTTGTATCTTTCCACAGATAATTGCTATGATGCTGGTTCCATTCCTTCCATTGAAATTGGCGATAGCCCAGTCATGTTCAGCATGCCTTACTCAAGGAACAGCGAGTAAGTTTTGTAATTCTTGTTTATTAGAAACGTTTTCCGACAGATTTATTACGTACTTTTTACATCATTCTGCAAATTCAAATTGCAGTATAGTCAACAAATTAGGAAACCATTCCCAGAGAAAATAAAACAGGGGCGAAAGTTAAAGTGAAATCTGAAATAAGATACGCCTAACTCCATGGTAGTTGCTTTTCTTCTACCATTAATGTCCGCATTCATAAATTAAATGCAAAGCTTGTCAAGTACTGTTACTTGATTTCATTCATTGTCTAGTGCGTTTGTATTGGTTGACACATGTACAGAGTTTTCTTGTATATAACGTAAATTCTACACCATCGCTATTTGAACTGATAATTGTTAAAGTACAAATTTGCTTTCATATATTAATATTCCTGCTAGGTCCACAATTTGCCCATTAAGACTCCAGACCATGGACGAGAATAGGCAGCTCCGTCTTGATGTGATGGGTGTGGATGAGAGTCCTGCCTCGTGTAGCTCGGATGTACTTAGAGTGACAGGTACACATTTCTCTTTGGTCATATTCTGAAAAATTATTTATTCTAAAGAAAGGTCTCTCACAGACCCTCGTTAAAGAGAAAGACGAGTTCACCTTTGACCATTTGTCGATTAAATTCATTTATTTTTTTCCTATATGTGCATGCAACTTAATTAATTAAAAACACCAAAAGACAAACAGACAAACAAATAAGAAAACCCACAAACTTTTCCCCCATCTTTAAAAACTGGATGAAAAAGCAGAAACCAGAAGAGAAGAAGCGCACAGTTCTGCTTGTAGATATGGTCGCTCTTTTAAGAATAAGGGTGTTTTATACTTTTTATTTACATATTTTGTCTTTCACGAAGCTTGCTGGAATTCACTCAGGATACTTTAATGTTGCAGGCCCTGGCCCCAAAGCTGTAATGAAGTATTGTAACCGGGGAGAGAACCCTGTGTACCGTGGAGAATCCCGAATGGTGGTCACCTCAAAGACACAGAGCAAAATCTTCATGAGAGCTGCAGCCGTGTGTAAGTGATTTACGATTATTGAATAAGTATATAGGTACCACAAAGAAAGATTTCAATTTTTTTTAAAAGTAGGTCGTAGAAACGATGAAGTTCAACTTTTACATCATGAATTTTGGACAATAGATAAACAAAATTATCAAGGTTCAAATTACTTAAAAACATGGAGATTCTGGAAGCATGCAAAGCAAGAAAAATGTGTGACGTCGAGCAATCACACGGACATATCATGACAATGCACATACTCATTTATTATGTCGTTATGCACTCAGTGACACTATTGAGGTATACCATTATGCTTATAAATCCGATTCTGTAAAGCTACAAAGTTTTTGAAAGTGGGTTTTTAAAGAACAGTTTTGCTTTTTACACACCAAACGGTCAATAATAATTATGTTATAATAACATGTTAATTCAATATTCAATATTACTGAAAAGTCAAAACTTTGTAGAGTTGCTCATAAATGCAGGGTGCTAGCTTACATTATTTTCAAGCATAGGGCAAAAATTGTATGAATTATAGCTATTCTTATTTTACATCTGACGCATTTTTGCAGTCAAAGTGCCAAATTACATACGTGTATGAGCAATATGTCAAATTTCTACTCTACAAAGTAAAACCAGTGGCAAAATGACATGTTTTAAGACTCATATAAATCCCTTTTCCCTCGTGGCTAAAAAAAATAACACCACGAGGTATTTAGGCATACCCCCCCCCTCCTTTGAAAGCCCCCACAGAATGGTCCAAAGAGCTGACAATTATACGCATATAGGCTTAGCGTAATGTAGTTAGAATTAAAACTATTTTTCCAAGTGTCATGAGAAATTACCATGGTCTACTAACGAGGGTGCAATTTATAACAGCGACCCAAAGTGTCGCATATGGAGAGCGGTGGCCCTTTGATACGTGTTTTGGGTCAAGTCGGGAGACGTTCTCTTGACTTTTGCCGAAAGCTCTCGCACACTTTCCCAATGCACCAATTCGGGTTGTTGCGGTACCTTATGCTCACCTGCCAGCGAATCTAACACAATGACGCATTTTCCAGCATTTATATGGGTTGATGTTGATGGACCACCACATGTCTTTAGAAGGAGTAAATTTTTACTTTCACTCCCGCACACAGATACACTGCTGAGGGAGTCAAACTGCAGTATTGCTTGCTGCAAATCACACATAAAGCCTCTAATACTCTTGCAAATCAATTATTTTCATGCAAAGTTCAAACATTACGACACAATTAATATCAAATTGTGCGTTAAAACAGGCTTCAGGGGCAGGCGACCCTGAAACCCCCCGATTGGTCCAAAGCGCGCAAATTACTACGCGGTTAGGCTTAGTATGGTGTAACTCTATTAAAAAACCATCAAACATTTCAAAAAGGGTTTATTTGCGACGGTAATGAAGCTGATGTTAGTGTTCAGCGTATCAATATTATACAGTAGATAATGGACAACTGGTAGCTAAATGTGAGATGGCAGGGAAAGTAAAAGATACTGGAGTATTTTGTTAAGTTCTCAATTTATTCATTAGATGGTGTTTAATGACAACGAAGATGGTGACATTTTAACTCTTACTTGAAATAAAATTAATGACGTATAAAAATTGCCATTTTGCCACAGTACTTATACTTTTCACTGTAATTGTTCATTTTACAGCTTCCGAATGCAACGGTCTGACTAGTGACTTCACAGCGTACCCTGACCTTGTAGTCGAGCTTTCTTTACCAGATGATAAAGATTATATCAAGTAAGTTGTGCTCATATAATGTTTGTGAGGACTCGTTGGTTCAGGGATAAAATGCACTCCTCGCTTAATAGTTTTGATCTCGATTCATGCTGCGTATGAGCTGGATAATTTGTAAAGTCATTTTTGGGGGATTTTGCTTTTAGTGCTTTATTCCAAAGTAGGTGGTACAAATCATTCTGCATTCTCTTTTCAAATTATTAGGACGACAATAAATGTAATGATTCTGTGAACTAATTTTCACAGTTTCCATATTGCGCAGATTGAAAAATATTACTGTAGGCCTACCTGCTGTTCTTATCTTTTTTTTCTACTCAAGGCGTTTCCACAGAGCAGGGTTTAGACCTCTGAGGCATAACCAAACCTCAGATACAATTCCTGTGAGTACTCGGCAAAGCCAACATAGGCCTAACGGTAACCCGTTGTCTTATGATACGCACCCATAACATTGTCTTAATTCTTCTTCCATTATCACATGGAGAGATAAATACACTATAAGACTTTACAGTTTTTATACTCAAGCTGTAAATGGTGGAGAACGGTGACAAATTTTCCATTGGGTTTGAGAACAGATTCTTTTTTGTATACTTATGTTTCTGAAAGATAGACAAATAATAGAGCAATAGCAGGTACATTGTGCACTGTTATATGTTACTTACATGTTTTGGAATCATCATAGTGGCATTGACACTGCTGCTGATTTATGGAGATGCACCTGCTGTTAATGAACATGTGAACACATTTAAGTAAACATAGCTGGCTCAAGCACGTCTTCTAATTATGACACTGTCTAATATTTCTTTGGAAATTCGCAGCTGAATTGATCCAATGCAACGCATCTTTCTATATGTCAGAAGACAATAAATAAGTTGCATTGTTGTGTTTTACACCCTCAGCTCAAGGGAAAGAAAAACAGTGCGAACTGTTAGTTCTTATCTTTTCAGAGAACTCTAATGATTAAGTATTTTAGTCTTGTAATTAAAAAAACCTGATATCATACTCAGAGTGCAATGAATAGTCAACAATATACTATTATTTTTAACTGAGACATTGTGCTGCTGAATCCTTATATTGAAATGAATTATCACCAGTTTGAGCCAGTGCCGGGCTCTGATCAGGACACGGCATGATGACGAGATCATCCACTTGTCCATCAAATGGTCACTGCCACTACTGCAGCCAGGGGGACACTCAGATTCAGACACCTGCTCAGGGGATTATCTCAATGTGTATGACGGTACGACATTAATTTTCAATGACCCATAGAGAGCACTACTTTTCTTGTTCTTTCAGCTACCTTAGAAGAAAAAATTTAAGTGCCAGATGCTTGAAAAACAAGACCGATTTCTACAACACTTCAGAGAAATACAATTCAACCAGGGGGACCTTACCTTTGTGAAAGATCTGTTCAGTTTGTTAGCGTTTGAAAGCTTAACCAGCTGATTCCACTGTATGCTTCTCGGGAAGCTGAGAATGTTTCTGAGTGTTCTATGGTCTGCTGGGGTAATAATACAGTGTAAAGCGCACAGAGCTTGCTTTCGAGTGGAGACATGCGCTATACAAATGCAATTTATTATTATTATTATTATTATTATTATTATTATTATTATTATTATTATTATTATTATTTATTATGACGAGAAAAGATTTTTTTGAAAACTATGAAGAACAAATAATACAGCATTGATATTGCTAAATAAACTCAGGGCAGGTGGTGGCTATTTAAATCTCCAGGTGTTAACCAATTCTCTCCATACAAGCTCCTATGAGCCATTGGAAATTTTGAATAACCCTTTGGCATGTTTCTGAGTTGATTTTGTTGACGTTCTGTCCGTCATTGAGTTTCAACTGTTCGATTGTTTGTGGCTTTTTCCGTTGACTTTGTCACCCCAATTTTTTTTTAAAAATAAAAGAGAGTAATTAAAGGGGCTCAATTTAAGTCTGGGGGAATGTAATAACCATTCAGTTTTAAACGTTCGGGTGATAAGATGTTCACCAAGCCTTTCTTGCAACCATACAAGGGCCCCTCTTGACGTGTGAGGTGGGACCCCATCAAACGGGAACAGGATCTCTTCTGCGTTACACATTCTTCTCCCTAAACTTCTCCAAAACTTTCTGAGAACGTTGGGATATCCATCTGATGTGACTGTCACGTCTTTACAGTCCTTGCCCTGAAACCAGAGCGGGTTGATCACACCCCTGTAGCTGAATGATTTTAAGAAGTACGATTTTGCGTTTTACCCAATTTGGTTGAAATTTTAAAATCTTGAAATTTCTCGAACAAGTTGATCGATGTTTCCCCATATTTTGCCAAAGTTTTTGCTCCCCTGGTTGAATTTTAATCTAAATGAGTTCTCTTTTTTTAAGACATTGCATCTTGCTTTTGTTGGGAAATTATTTTTTCATCGCTGTGTATAGGATGTTAAAATGTGTTTTAGCTCACTTACACATAAAGGAAGTTTTAGTGGGTGCCATCATTGGTAGACGAAGCTCTCGGTAGGAAAACAACCTTATTGTTGTCAGTAGAAGGTCAGGGGGATTTTAAGCTCAAGAAGACTTGCAGTTGCGTTCCGCAGTGGCCATTATTTTATCTAAAATTATTCGAAATCAACAGTACACGTGTGTCTTCTTTTTGAGTTAAGACCTTATACATGTATTTGTTGTGGAATAAAATAAAAGTGAGAGACTTAAAAAATACAGGTACTGCTAATAGTAATGGCATCTTGGTGAAATTAGGCATCCTTAAAAGTATAGATACTGAAGAAACCTGCATTTTTCCACCCGTTGTTCTGTCGTTGTCGATTTTTTTGTTTCGGCTTATTACCTTTTAGGTACTGTACATGATTCAAAAACACATTTCCGTGTGGATATTCCGTTAAAACCCGTTCATAATAAAAACAGCAATAAATGCCAGCTTGCCGTTTCTGAGGAGATTCAACCTTTGGACGTCACCAAACTTTGGTGGCTATTTTCCTGCTAAGTTTATCTCTGACAATAGGCGAACTCAATCTCCTTCCCTTGCAAATCTCTCGATTTCTATTTAAGTTATAGGGTGGAGGCCTATTCATTTTAAAAAATCAAGACAACTGGTCAAGCTTTGAGATAAAATAAATAACTCTATGCCCCCAAATTGATGAGAGCTTGACTCTACCGTGTTTTTGTTTTCTTTCAGTGGTCTTAATAACACGCCAGTGTTAGCAACAGAAGATGAATATAGTAATTTTATTTTTTTAAATTGTAAAAGGATAAGAAACTAACAGATTGCGTATCAATTATCCTTTAGGAGCCAGTGAATCAGCCCCACTGCTCTACTCTTCCTGTCACCGATCAAAGAACCAAGGTCGCGTCGCAGATGCTATGCTGGTCAGCAGACAGAGTAGTTTGCTTGTTGTGCTGGATGCGGACGCTAAAATTGAAGGGTCTGCAGTCAAACTGGAGTATCATTCCATTCCAGGTGAGTTGTTTTCATGAGTTGTTCTCTTTGCGTATCATGAGGTGTGTTTGTGTGGATGTGTGTTTGGGGGGTGTGTGGGGGATGTGGGGGTGTGGAGGGGGGTTATGTGATGTTTGTTGAATCTGATTCCAACTCAGCAGTTAAAAGTATTGATCTCACAGTTAGTTTAAGTGGGTGAAGCTTTAAACTGTCGAATGGTCGGAATGGTTTTTTTCCCCTTGTGAGAAAATGTCTTTCTTTCAAAGAGCAACTACTTCATTCAACAGGCTATATCTATGAAAGCTAGCTAATCAATTGTCTCTGTTAAAAGGGTAGCATATTATAGATGAGAGTCATCATAATTGTACAACTTTCAGAAGAAATATTTTCCAACATAGACCAATGGTCTCAGTCTCAATCTGGATGTGGCATCTCTGTGTGATTACCTGCCATCCTTCTCGGTAGCGCGTTGCAGATTCTGCAATACAAAGGCCAGGCATTGTTTTTAGTGTTGTTCATCCATGTTACTCTTTGTATTCCCCATGCTCTTCCATCTGCCCCACAATCTTCCTTCAAGCACCTCTTTCACAATGGTATGGTAAGAGTTTTTTTTTACGTCCAATGGTAGAATTATTTTTGGTGGTTTACTTTTTTATGTGTGATAAGGCATGTCAGATCCTCATACTTCAGAGTGGTGTTTTTATTTTCTTTGCTTTCAAGCTGATTTTACTTTGCTGCCATTCAGAAAGGTATCACCTTGTACCTCTACTTTCTTTTACTTCTAAAGTATTCCATTTCAGGTGGAAAGTACTGTTCAGGGAGAGAGGAGATCATGGTGAACGGTTCTCGGACGAACTTGACCTCCTTGAACTATCCTGATTCTTTGCCACTGTAAGTGTTACTCAACTTTCATAAGTTATAGTTTGCTGCTGTACTTCGGTCCTTTTTCACTTTGTTATTTAGAAAGGGTTTTTTTTTGCTGTTGAAATCTCTATTTCCATCAATAACTGCACCCACAATTTGAACCATTCAATTGTTGCTCTTGCATAGTACAATATGCATCGAATGATAACCTACAATCTTGAAAAAGACCATGGAAAAGCTAAAATATTTGTTCATAGTCTTCATTTGTAGTCAGAATGTGTAAGGCACTGTAGTGGTTCAGATTTCTATAAGGAGTTATAGTATAAAGTACCCAAGTCATTTTTTTAATAAGAGGGTCAGATTCACGAGGGACTAAAAATTGATAGACTACTCTAAAAAATGGCCTTTGAAATTGCCCTCTTCAAATTTTGAGTAATTTTCCACGAAGATTTGATGAGAAATTATGCAGAGCAGTCAAACAATATATTCTATGATGTGTAGCGACAGATGCATTTATTTTCTCATTCTCATTTTTAGAGGGTTTAGAGGCATAATCTGTGACATGATTTCACTAAAAGAAAAAAAAATACCCCCCTCCCCCGTTGGCTTCCTAGGTTTGGTGCAGAGTCCCAAAGTTGTTGTAGATTGACGTCACCGTTGTATTTTAAAGCAAGATCAATACCGTTACTTAAATGCACTTTCTTCCCAGCAGTTTATTTGTCGGCACTTCATAATACAGGTTGTCTTAAAAAAAGAGGACCCACTTAAAGGGCAATAATCGGTCATTAGTTCACTTATAATTATAGCAACAAAACCCCCCCACCCCCCACCCTCCAAAAACAAAAAAAGAAAAAAAGAAAAAAATCAATAATTAAAATTCAACCACGGGGACATCCAGTTTGTAAATATCCATTATCGCTTCCATGAAATATCAAGTTTTAAAAAATTTCATCTAAATTTGGATAAAACGCTAAATTTCGCCTTTTAGAAACCTTCAGCTACAGGGGTGTGATCGGTTCGTTCTAGTTTCAAGGCAAGGACAGTAAAACCAAGACAGTCACATCAGATGGATATCTCACCGTGCTGGGAACGTTTGGGAGAAGTTTTGGGAGGAGAAAAGGTGTTATGCTGTAAAGTGAAAAGGCCTGGTTCATGTGGTTGTAAGAAAGGTTTAGGGTACACCTTTTAGGCCAAAGGTTTGTCACATTTCTCCAAACTTGAGCCCTTTATATAATCACCTTTGGATTATTTTTGACATACAGCGTCTACGCAAACAGGCCACAAACATCGAACAGTTGAAACTCTATGCTGAATAGGACGTCCAAAGAATCAAACCAATATCAATTTCTAGTGGCGTATTTGGGCTTGTATGGAGAAAGGTCAACACCTGGATATTCAAATAGCCATCAGCTCTTTGGGTTTATTTGGCAATATAATGCTTTGCCTAAATTTATTGTCATTCAATACACATATAATGAATATTTTGAAATAGACCAGTATGGTTGATTTTTAAGAAGCTGCAAAGTTTAACATTTCACTCAATGTTGGTTTAAATTGTTAAAACTTAATTTTACTTGAACACAGTGGTTGATTTATTTCATTTTGACAATACAATGTCCCTCCGGTTGAATTTCATTTCTTCCAAAGCCTTTCGTTGAAATGAGTATAACGATGACCGAATCATTGCTATTTAAACGCGTCCTCTTTTTTTTAGACACCCGGTACATGTATATTATGACCTATTTGAGTTGCAAATGTCATAAAACTTTTACTAAAACTAAACTATGAAAAATTGCCATCTTTATTTCAGACGACAAAAATGTGTCTACGAACTAAAGGCTGAGTCGTCCGAGGAAGTTATTGTTGTAAATGTTTTGGATTCTAACCTGGCAGCCAATTGCGAGACGATGCTCACTGTATACGAAGGTATGTATGCATTATTGATGAAGTGATTCACATTGGACACTGTAATGAAAATGCGACTGGGTTTTTTTTGCTACCAAAAGTAAAATAGTTTTGTTTCGCAATGACATGCAGGCATTTTAATGTACACATATAAAAGATAGTGATGATTTCTAAACTACAAAACAATTGCTGGCTACTGCGGTGTTGGATTCCTGTTCCTGAGCTGGATTTACCACATCTCTCTTAACTTTCTTTTGTAAGTGCACCTTCATTCACTCTACCTCCATGGTTCATTGGAAATCCCAGATCATCATGTTTCTGTGCTGTACTATTTAGTATTCAGTTCTGTTTCCCTGTTAATATGGTTGTAAATACATATACAGAAGAGTCCACTTAAATCAAAATCTGCAGGATTGGATTTTCTTCGGTTTATCTGGGTTTCCGATTTAGATAAAGTTGCTCAAATACCAGTGGTTGTTGACAGCCTAGAGTTGGGAATACTATTCATGCGGCAGATTTCACGTTTTCAAAGTTTGTTTGTTTTTTTTGTTTTTTTTTGGGGGGGGGGGGTTCTGCAATTTGAGCTGCAGTCTGCGCTCACGGTGCTTTCTCTGTAACATTACCAGCCAGCTTAATCAGCCCAATAATCACATAGAACTGACAAAAAAGTAGACAGATAAGTTAGAAAGAAAGCCAAATGCCAGGGACGCCATGAAACACCATGTGCCATCAGGTTCTTTTGTATAAGATCTGTGTGTGAGCCTTATATTGATGTTTATGAAAACTGCATCTTTCTAGCCCACAATCGACACACGTACGTTCTTCTGTTTCGCCATCTTGAAACGAAAAAAAACCCCAAACAAACAAACAAGCAAACCTCCCCCCCCCCAAAAAAAAAACAACCAAAAACCGTGATGATTTGCCTTTTTCAATAGTTGGTGGTGAAGAATTTGGCAACATAACCCAAGTTATTCTTTTCAGTTAGAGATTTGACAATTTTCGCTAATCCCTATTTTTTTTACGAAAGCAAAGAAGACAAAGAATCTGGAAATGTATTTCCTTCAGTTTACCACTGTTTTTGGATTAATCGTGTTCGGTCTAAATGGACACAACTATATTATTATGTTTTCATTTTTATTGTTAGATATTTCATTTGTAGAAATTATAATGTTAATAGTTGAAATCTGGAAGACTACTACCCTTGAAGTAATGCAAATCAATCAGTTCTATGGTTTATTAATTGTTTTTCTATTTCTTTATATGGGTTTATCATCATCGGTACAAAGATCAGGAGCTATATGCCTACAAAGATTTGAACGTTATGAGACGTAAATCTAGTGCAGATGTTTGGCAGCTAACTTTTTTGGTGACACACAAATCTTCTTAGAATGTTCATGAAGGGAAGGTTCGTATTTCAACTCCACCCCACTTTGAAATTATATTCCTGTGCCTGTTAAATGTGCTTTGCGCGTCGGCTTAACAGTGCTGTTGTCTGACCTGCACAGAATGCACCAGTGTTACTGTTGGCATGATATACTTTTCCTTTTTCTTTTACAAAATTTAGCAAGGTTTTTAACATTTTCTTTTATATGTAGAAATGCTAAACGTCTTAATATGCAATGAGTTTTTAAATCATAGCCCATGCCTTGCATTGTAAGAGGGATGTAGAATGCTACTCATCAACTGTATTTTCTATAAACAACAGTGGAGTCGCTTAAACCGAACGCGGTTAATCTAAGAACAACAGTAAAATGAAAGAAAATATTATAGTATCTCAGATTTATCTTCTTCAGAAAACAAAGAAACAAATGAAACATAAAAAATAGCGAACATTGGTGGCATATCGCTCCAACATGACTTACAGTTGGCCTTAGTTGTTTGTGTACACGTGCTTGTGATGTGTCATACCATATGTGCAGGGGTGGAAAGGGGGAGGCTGGATATTATACCCTTGGGATAATTTCGGGATGAACTCTGGTAATGCTATAAATAAGTCACGTGACTTAGTGTAACCTTGCTATTTCACATTGTCACATTTATAATAATAATAATAATAATAATAATAATAATAATAATAATAATTATTATTATTATAATTATTATTATTATTATTATTAGTAGTATTGTTATTATAGATTCTATGTCTAATCAACCTTAAGAATGTACGAAAAAAAGGTAAACACGAGAATAAAAGACAAAAAATATCACTGGGAAAGAAAGTAGCAATAACTGGTGGTAATGGGTAATCTATGTAATAAAAGTTAAAAGTGATCTCGTTTATAGGCCTAGTGAAGAAAGGATAGCGTCATCTGTCGTGGCACCTTTGGTTGGCCATGACCTATGCTCACTGCGAAGCTAGTTCACACATAAAGGTCCCATACGTGAGGACGTAACGGCACGGGGTATGCTATTGTTAAGGTGTTAAATAACTTTACTGGCATTCTTGCATCTCTATCTACTCTTTCGACTGTTTTGTGTGATGATTTGGCTGAGTGAGCAAACTGAGAGTATCGAAAAGAAATCACAACACGTACAGCATGCAGCTCAAAATGCAGTTACTGAAAGAGATAGATCAGAAATTAGAGCTTTCATAACGTAAAATATCCCAGCTCCATGCTGTCAACAATCATTGCTATTGGAGCAACCCTCTCTAAACCAAAAACACATCCAAACCGAAGAAAATCCAGTGGTCACGTTGATTTTGGTTTTCACACAAGTAGGTCATTTTGATTGAAGTTCAGGGACTTGGCAAAAGTAAGGAAAGGTAGCACATACGATAGTAATGATCATCATCCGGTGCCTTGTCGACTGGCGTGGGGGAACATGGACCTCCAGTTCCCTCTGTCCTGCGTTGCAGCGATGGTTTCTATTGTTCTTGCTATTCCAGGCCATGTTGTTAACTTTTCTAGTATCTTTTCCCTCTGTCTGCCTCTACCTCTCTTTCCATCAAACTTGCCTATTGTTACAATATTCTCCAATGCTTTTTTCCAGAATGTGTGTCCAATGAAATTTGCCTCTCGCTTTCGTATATACTCGTCATAAGCTGTTGTCTGCAATTTGCTTCAACTAAGACCTCTTCATTTGTTTTTCTAGCTGTCCGTGGGATACGCAGCATTGTGATGATACACGGCATTAAATGTGATATCATATTTAAATCAGTGTGATCTTCACAAGGATGTCCACATGCATTATTTAGCATTGAGAATGAAAGGTCAAGCATGTATAGATCTAGATTTACACTCAAACATATATGCTTTTATGTGCGTCATATTGCCTTTGGAGAGGCTGCGTCTCCTGCTGGTTGGGGATATTTATGATCATAAGAGTTGATTTTGAAGGGAGTGAGTATTTTCAACACCTGCTTTCTAGCTGTTTGTAAATAATTAATTAATGCCATACTGAACACGAGTAAGTAATCATGTCTGAATTGTTACTTTCACAGGTGAATACCAAACAGGACTGGAAGACACACAGGTTGTAGGCAGAATATGTGGACAGGACACAGGGACTTTTAGGATCCACGGGGGGCATGGTGTGCTCTACACAAAGTCTGATCAGGTGAAAGGGCCTGGGGGCTGGATGCTGGAGGTATACACCGAGAGCCCACCCAGTGGCTCAGCAAAACTCTGCGCACATGCACATCTTCTCTGGGCACTAGTCCTCATCTTTTTTCTGGGTGTGTTTCGCTGAACGTGTGATCCGAAACTTTAGGTTTACTTGAATATAAATTGATACACAGGGTGAAACCATACTCAAACTGTGTGGAAGTGATCTCGTGAATGAAGAGAATGATTGCTGAAGAACACCGGAGTTAAAAAATATATTATTAAATTAATATGCAAAGAAGAATTGGTTTAATCAGAAAAGGGTGGAAGGAAGGGGTGGAGAAAAAATAGAGAAAGGATTTTAAAAGGGCGAAAAAAAATTGTTCTGAAACGTACGGGGACAATAATGCGATTTCCTGAAAAATTCAGTTTTCTCTAAACTAAATTATATTTGAGAGAAAGTGAAACATTTAAGATTTAGATTTTGTTTTGATAGACACCATATTGAGACAGACATGTAATTTGAATTTATATGAAATTTTTTTCAAGTTTATAAAATAAAATGAAAGTGAAAGACGAATTGTAAATTAATTTTCCAATATTTCTAGGTCTTTAAAACAACGTATGAGTGAATGTTGTTGGAATAAATGTTAGAGAACGGGGAGGATTTGTTTATTTATAAATGTTTTTATGTGATTCTCTTAAATTGTTTTATATTTTATGGAAACTCCTTCAAATTTTCATCAAATGCTAAGCATTTGGGTTATGTTTTGAACACTATAAACGTATTCATATCAAGCCATTATTTTCTTTTCTGTACTGAGTTAACCATTTATTCCGAGTCTTATTGTAACCATAACTACCTTTATTGTGTAGACCATTTTTGTCACTGTGTGCTTTTCCTACATCTGAATCTGTATTTTTGTGAAGTTAGATTGCATACCTCTTGTTTATAGCTTCTTCTGTGGGCATTGGGTTTTTAAAAAAATAGTTTTAATCACTGTTTATATAAAGGGAACTGTGCTTCCAGAATTACACAGGGGAATTTCTCAAGATTTCTATTTTTCATTTACAATTGCCAGAATTAATTAGCCTTTTCGTTATATGCTAGTTTTGATAAGTATTTTAAAAAACTGATTCCTCATATTGTTAGATGATTTATCAAATTAATATAAACTTTACACCAGAGAGAGAGAGAGAGAGAGAGAGAGAGAGAGAGAGAGAGAGAGAGAGAGAGGGGGGGAGAAAGAGAGAGATGGAGAGAGAGGGGGTGGAGGGAGGGAGAGGGAGAGAGAGATAGAGAGTCAGAGATGAAGAGAGAGAGAGAGAGAGAGAGACAGAGAGAGAGAGAGAGATGAAGAGAGAGAGAGAGAGAGAGAGAGACAGAGAGAGAGAGAGAGAGAGAGAGAGCGAGAGAGACAGATTATGGTGGTTTCAAATCCCAACCATCGAAGACAGTGGTAGCTTTTATTTTGGGATTCTATCAAATTGTTTTAGATATTTTTACAATATAATAAGCTCGACGAGTTCACTTTGAAAATACGTGGGTACGTACCTAGAAATTTTGACGCAGACTTCTGAATATCTTCTTTCATACTTTACAAAGACAGGCTGAAAAATTAATTGTTTTGACGATTCTATACACTTAAACATATTTTGTCCATCAATTACTCCATTGTAATAATAACTGAAGGGTGCGGTGGCGGAGCGGTTAGTGCGCTCGTCTCCGAAGCGGAAAGTCCGGGTTCGAGCCTCGATTCAGACGCGGATTATTTTCGCCCCTCCTGCCCACCCAGCAGTAATGGGCACCTGACTTCGAGTTGAGGAAATGAAGGCGGCGTGGAAAGGAACTGGCCACCCTACCACAATATGCCGAAGGCCCAAGAAGTTGTCCCACTAACAAGGAAATCCCCAATGTCCGGATCGGATGCGGGAACAACTTTATTAATAACTGCTTTGAAGTATAGGTGACTTTGAAATGGTATGACAGTTATGTTTTTGTTCTAAAAAGTGTGTTATTCTATTGAGTATCTTTCCCCTTATTACTTCTTTGACACATAGGGTCAACAGTTTAAGGGACTCTCGTGGTCTTGAGGTACAGTGTTCGAAACCTGACAGCGACTGAAAATTTTCTTCTCTAAAATGTTATCTTTTCACCTTCTTTATTGCCCTCTAATCATGTTGTGTCATGTACTTTCTTCTCCACTTTCTCCCCCCCCCCCTTTCCTCTGGGCTCCTGACCCTTTCTGCTGCTACTCCTGGTTCCTCCTTACTGCTGTCAGCCTGATCTTAGGGTAGGTAAGATCGAATACCTAGCCTTCTCCGAGACAGGCGAAAAAATCTCGGAGGTCCCGTGGGCAAGTTGCACACGTTAAAAATAGCTTGGTGGTTCTAAAATCTATAAAAAAAATAGGCTTCCGCAGTAATCGGGGCAAATTGCATAAACGAATTCCTACCAAAATGAAAATTCCTAATATGTTTCATGCGCTCATATACGACATTATGCAGTTACGAGTGCTGTGAAACACTTACTACCAAAAGTGAATAGTTAATATATTCTATTTATTATTCTTCAAGCAAAAATATATTCATAGTTAACCTTCTTTTTCCATTATATGAAATGTATGAAATGTGAATGTGGTTTTTTTCTAACGGCATCTTCTCATACCGCTATTTCAAGCAGTGATACTCTGTTAAAACCGCGTGGAATTCTTTAAAAAAACCCAGATATTTAATGTTAGATGTTACAGATTTCATAGTGTAGAAAAAAATATTAATGGGAAATTCCAGTATATGTTGGGTTTTTAAAAAATATGTGGCTGCAAACTTCCACTAACCTTGCAAATTGATTAGATCTAATGATCGTGAATTGCCTAATTATAGGTAACTACAGCAGAGTCAATCTATTATGTAAATAGGAGTAACTTATCGCTATATTATTACTTCATGTTTTCAATTAATGTTTCATGTACCAGGCAGCTGAGGTAAGATGATGAATACAACAGGGTCAGATTTCACAAAGTGTACTATCGTACTTATCTACCACATTATGCCAACTCTTCTTTACACATAGGGCCTACAGGAAATCCTTTTATATTATGTTACTTTGGTTCGTGATTGTTTTAGGTGTATATGACCTATAAAAGAGATTCGTTATTATATCGTAGTCTACCTTAAGTGTTCTTAGAAGTGTTGTTTTTTATTCTTCCTTTCATAGATGGTTGATATTTTGATACTTGCGTGTTATTTTTTACTTTTTAAAGATCTATTTTATTTTTATTTTACTGTTGTATGCCTGGCAAATAAAGAGACTGACTGCTTTTAAAATTTCTAATCGAGATGTTTTTAAGACACAATGAACACAGCTGATGTCTTCCCTGATCGGGTAATGGCCACCGTCTGCCCACACCCACGATGGTTTATTGCGATACAAGTTTCCGGCCTTTGCCAGGTTTTGTTGCCACATAAGAGAAGTAATGTTCATATTATATTCAAACACACATACATAGTTCCTCCCCGTCTTAGCCACAGTCATTATCATTATCGTATCATTATCGCGACCTTTATCATTATTACTATTACAATTGTTATATTTATTATTTTTATTATCATAATTAGGCATATTTCTTTTTCCTCTTCTTCTTCTTTTTCTTTCTTCTTCTTCTTCTTCTTCTTCTTCTTCTTCTTCTTCTTCTTCTTCTTCTTCTTCTTCTTCTTCTTCTTCTTCTTCTTCTTCTTCTTCTTCTTCTTCTTCTTCTTCTTCTTCTTCTTCTTCTTCTTCTTCGACTATCATTATTATTATTATTATTACTACTACTACTACTACTACTACTACTACTACTACTACTACTACTACTACTACTACTACTACTACTACTACTACTACTACTACTACTACTACTACTACTACTACTACTACTACTACTACTACTACTACTACTACTACTACTACTAGCTGGGTATCCGTTCGATCAACGGACGCAAAAGAATCCATCGTCAAGTCATTGTTGAAATCAGGGCGCACTGTTTGTGAACAGAAACCTCACTTGTTTACAATGGCGTCTTAGAAGACGGACTGTCCCAATATTAGATCTAAACGAAATTACTGAAAAACTGAAAAATTAAACTACAGTGACTTCAGAATCCTTAGTATAACTGTGCACCCTTTAAATGATTCTGAATCACCGTTGATTTTTTTTTTTTTAATTCGAAAGTTAAGTGGTTCGGAGGTTTTAGGCGACCAAAGTGATGAACTTTCACAAATATGATATGCTAGCTGGACCCCTTTTCGACGAAAAGAATGATCGGTGCATTAACACCAACTGAAAGTCATTGGCCGACTGTAATATTTACACTCTAGATATCTAGTACCGGAATGGAGCAATCAATCTTGAGAGATGCAAAAAAATTAAAAGGTCTAGATTTATACTCTCCAAACAACAGTGCGTACGGCTAGTGAACGGAAACCTCACTTGTTTACAACGGCGTTTTAGAAGTCGGACTTTCCCAAGAATAGATCTAAACGAAACTAATGAAAAACTGAACATTAAACTACAGTGACTTCAGGCTCCCCAATAAAACTGTGCACGCTTTAAATGATTCTGAACCACTATTAATTTTGTCAAATTCAAAAGTTAAGTGGTTTGAAATTATTAAGCGGCCAAAGCTTAAATGTGACGCACTTTCATAAATATAATATGTAGAGATATAGAATAATAATAATAATAATAATAATAATAATAATAATAATAATAATACTACTACTACTACTACTAATAATAATATTATTATTATTATTATTATTATTATTATATTATTATTATTATTATTATTATTATTATTATTATTATTATTATTATTGATATAATTGTTAGTTTTATCATAATCATTATTTTCATTATAATTATTATTATCAGTATCATAATAATAATAATTGTTTTTTTTGGTTATTATTATTGAAATTATTATTATTTTTATTTTATCATTACTACTACTACTACTACTACTACTACTACTACTACTACTACTACTACTACTACTACTACTACTACTACTACTACTACTACAACTACTACAACTACGATGAGGCCTGAAATAATACTGTTTAGATATGTGGGTGCCATGTCATTATAAACATATTTTTAATATAAACATTATGTTTCACACTTGCCACACTGAGTGATACAGCACAAACAGCACATAGAATCTACATAATTGTTACACTTGCTCACAGGAACAGCAAACAGTTTTCAGGAGTTTCAAAAACAAGTTATCGCATGCCTACTTAGAACATACATCTACTATGTATTAATGAAAAATCACGAGCGAACAATACAAGTACATAAAGATAACATCCTGGTCTCATGACAACTCTCAATTAAGCCTGCAAGTTTATGTACCTCGGTTCCTGGAAACAGACAGTGGAAAAACAATGGGTGAATCAAATCAAGCCTTGTTTTGATTTTTCTCCCAAACAAAAGTTCAACTGGCGCAATACCAGAATACAACTCTTGTGGTAACTGTAACTTGTAAGGAACCAATACTAGTACTGCCTTTCTGCACATCTGCACGCTGAACTTGAAAGTAAGGACTGCTCGCTCAGAGAGTCTTCTCAATGCAGTGTGAAATTGTGAAGTACGAGTATGCTTAGATCTAACACCATTTTAGAGTAAGAATCTAAATGCATCGCTTCAAAAGGATGGTCCATTGTCTGTGACAGTCTGTGGAAGTTAAAAACTTCCAGTAGCAAACACTGATGTCAATTGAAAAACTGTGTCATAAGTAGTGATTTTTAGATCTATCATCAATTCATTTGGAAAGGGCACCCACTACATAAATAAGAAACATTTTCCCCCAAGATAGGATACGTAAAATCCAGATTATGTAGCCTGGGCCATGACCAACTATGCAGAAGAGCATGTCGTACTAGCGTCTGGTTTTGCTGACAAATCACACAAGATTTCACACAATATTCTAAGTCTGAGTCTATGCTAGGCCACCAAACATAACTTGATTCTTCATTCTCACAATACCAACGTGGTACTCGTGCAATAAATCTATGACTGTTGAATTGAATGAGTAGCAACCCTGGTGCCCAAGAGAAGACAGCCATTGTCAACACTAAGTTTAGATTTCCCGTGGATACTAGATTGAAATCACTGTCAAATTTTAAAAATTATTTTGTTTGATCTGGCCACCCATATCAGTAAAGGACAACACGACCTTTCAAAGCGCAGAGCCAGTTCTTATCCTTTCAGATATCAGTGACGCACAGATTGGTGTCTTGTTAAGCACAGTGAAATATTACGTCTCTAGGAGTGGACTTGTTGTAGGTGGCATTTTGGTCATGCGTTAACCACCCCCCAAATGACATATTCATCTGGAGAGCATTAAATCTTTGAGTCTGGAATTTTACAGATGATATCTGACATTTTCTTGGTTTCTCAGAATGATTAGATTTGTAAATCTGAGCAAGGTCATCCCTCTAACTTTCTGGCGCCCACACCTTTTCCGAATTGTAACATTCAGAATGTTTGAATTCAGGGCCAAATGAGGGTGCCTGGTCTGCAATCGTAGACTGAACTTTGAGCCGTGTCCTTGTGCGGCCATGTGTGTGTGTGTGT